AAGAGTGATATAGTAAAATTCTTGAAACACAGAATCTGTAAAACATATAAGTTACTTCTTTAGGACTGTTAATCTCTCAATCATTAGAAAAACTCAACGTACCCAAAGAAAAAACTTCAACTCCTATGTTGCGAAGCTCTCTTGCAGGAATTTCAACTTCATCTTGAGCTTTTCCATCCGTAATGACAATTGCTACTTTGGGAAAGCCTTTTCTTGCTCCACCAGACTCAGTGAAGGTGTTTTGAACGAGGTAATCAATAGCCTCACCTAAAAACACCACCACAAGTTGTGTTTTATTAGGCTTGAATGAACTAGGATTTTAAGCAAATTTGAATTATAAAATGAAATGCTAAATAAATATGTATGTGGGAAATCTGTACCTGTCATTGTGTTGCCACCTTTGTAAGGTATCCTTTTAATTGCATCAATAAGATCACTTCTCCTGAAATACTGATTTAAATTGAACTCTGTTCTTGTATCTGAACTGTACTGAACAACTCCAACTCTCGTCTTTTCTTCCCCAATGTCAAAAGCTGATACAAGGGCCACCATGAAGTCCAGAATATATCTGAAGTTATTTCTCCCTACACTCCATGAACCATCTACCAGGAAAACTAAATCTGTCATTGCACTTATGGAGCATCCTGGAACACAAAAAAAAAAAAAAACAAAAACCAACTCTGTTAGTAAATGAGCAATTGTGTTCTTACAAGTCAGTGAGAAATGTCTGACAGAAACTTAGTAGATAAAAGCCAAAACAAACAGATATTTAATAGCTTGATATTCTTATCTGAAATATCTTACTTGGGGAAGCATTATTCACATAAGTGAACACCCATACGAGCCTTCTAGCTGCCATTACCAAAAGGGAACTGTCACCTAGGTACTCAGTTTTGAGACACTTCTCATGCTATTCCACAAGATCTGTTATGCCACAGCAGATGAAAACTCACATATAAAACTTTCTGCAACAGTTTGATGTTATGGGAACATTTCATTTTGTTACCACTTCTGCTTTGCCTCTTTACCTCCCCATAATAGCTGCACAGGTTCTTCTGCAATGCCTTTTATCCACAGCACGATGTCTTTTGTTAATAGGACTAAGACACTCATGGACTTGCTCAGATTAGTTGCATGAAATTCCTAATTTCAGTACTAACTTTACACCTTATTCTTTCAATGCGGCTATAAATTCCTTCCATCCCAGTCCCTTCCCAAGTTTTCTTAACTCTGGGCGATTTTACAAGTTAACTTTATTGCTAGGTAACACAGGAACACAGTTTAACTTTATGGGGCCCTAGAGCTCGACGTCGCTTTTCTCTAAAATGTCAGATAAGAAAGATAAAACACCTTACTTTGTAATTGAGCCTCAACCTTCTTTTCCTCTGGTATCCCTGGACCACCTGTCTGAACTGCGCAAAGCACAACATAGAGAGAATTAATGGAAGAAATCAGGTTAAATTTGTTAATATCAAAGAAAAGCATGTAGGGAATTAGAGACGCAAATCTGACAAGCCTCAGAACATGAAAACATAAATGCACGTTATGAATACATCACCTGTACTTACAGATTTGACAACATAGCATTCAGGGCAACACAAAATACAGAAAATGCAAATAATTAAGAATCCTCTGTATTTGTATATCTTGAACAATAATTTCCTGAAAATTAACTGCAACGTCCCCGGATGAAATACCAATATTACCCCTCTCTAACACATAGGGGAACTCATCATAAGTAATTTTCCTGTGGTTTTTTGGGAATCCTGAGACAAAATCCATGCGACAAAACGTGTCATAGAAGATAGTCTGTTGTGCTTAAAATTTTTATTTAATTAGATTTAACATATGCTTTATTTAATTATTAAATATAAATTATAAACAAATTAAATTCAAATA